CCCCTCTACGACCAGACATAGGGGTATCTTATGTATCGTTATTCTACTAGTATATGCAAGCCCTGGTAATATCACGCACTCACCCCTCTCCAACTGATTCATACTTGGAACAATGCTGCCTAGCTAGGTCTTTATCTGTGCTAGCAACATTACCCATACAATGATCTTTATCTCCCGTAGGAAACATATTGGGCTTGTAGAACCCATCAGTACAATATCATTGATGAGTATCATGAGTTTTCTACTAACATCTGGTTGGTATCATAAAATAAGTTGGAAAATAATTCTTTTACTTTTTATATTTTAGTTTATACCATTTTCTATACAAGTAATTAGTTTTGTATCGAATCAAAATATTGATAATAATCGTAAAACTAAAATGAGTCACATACCCGAACAAAAATCACAATCAAATTGGCTATATAAATAAGTTTAAAAATTAAATTAAACGAAAAGAACGAGTTTGAAAAACTAGTTCAAAATGGATTTTATACCCAAACTTGATTGGAACCAATTATAAATTTTAAACTGATTTTGAAACATAAACCGATTCCAAGCAGGTTTCAAACCAATTCAAAAAAAAAAAATTAGGTATAAGAGTTTAGTTCTTTGAACCTAACCGACTTAAACTGTTAGATTTTCTATAATTATTGTGGGCTGCAATGAATTGTTTTTATTTTTTCTTGTTATAACAAAAACGGGGTAAGTCATGATTCACATGGGGTGCAGTATAAAGCCATTTTAATTAAGTGATCATTTGATTTGGGTTTAAGTATCTGTAACACTGATTAGTGTGGGTAATAATGTAAGTCTTACCCATAGGCTCATAATGAGAAGGTACTAGGGTTAATAAGTTTGGCTAGGTTCTCTCTGCATTCACCATACGTTGAAAAATAGTCGTTCCACGACTTGCCCCATCCACAGTTGTGATCAGGGAGTAGTGTGAACTATAGAGGAAGATCTCAATCTTTCAAACTTTGCAGGAATGTCGAAGCAAGGAAGAAGCAAAATAGAAATCAAGAATAATGTCTTCAACAAGTAAGTCTAAACCTTTTGGTGTTCAAATTTCATATTCAAAGTAGAGAAAATGTTGAGAATCTTGAAGAGAAAATGGAAAATTCTCATTATGATTAATATCTGTTATACAGAATGAATATATACACAGATAGATTACAACTAACTAGATTCACACGTGCAAGAAGATAAGAAAACAGAATAAGGAAGCAATATTGGTTTGCACCATGTTTGATGAATGAACATAATTTTGTGTTGGCTTTTGAATCAAGCCCAAGAGACTTTGATATTGTTCTTTTGCGAGTTGAAAGCTATCAATTGGTTCAACAATTTTCATACTGAAAAGGAACATTAGTATCAAATGAGGCCATGTTTGCCTTTCTGTATCAACAATGGAGTGGTGCAGCCAAGATAGCACCATTGTGTTACAACGATCCCAAGCCAAATACAAAGATGCTGAGCTTTCTGGAGGAGCAGAAATGGTGCCATCCACAAAACCCAGTTTATTTTTCGAACACAATGCCATTTTCATCGATCTCACTCAGGTATGGTAGTTCTTATCATCAAAGACTGAGAATACAAGAACCAACGAAGGGTTTTCGTTGGCATGCAAAAAATAAGGGCTTAAAGAATTTGTAGAAGAATCTATTGTAGAAGAAAGATTCTCATTTGGAATTGTTGAGCTATGAAGCACCGACTCCGACACGAAATTTTCGATACGTTCTCGATACGGCCATTAATTCGTCGATACGATACAATACGTTTCTGATACGTTTTCGATACGCGTATCGAATACGTTGGAAAAAAAAAATTCAGAGTATCGGTGCTTCATAGTTGAGCTCTAGTCCGCTGTAGCCATTTTACAAAATCAAGAAAAGAAGCTTGACGCAGAAGCAAGAAGAAGGAAAAGGTTGGAACAACAATTAATACCAGAGTTCTATATGAGCTCTGATACCATCAAAGTAGAGAAAAGTTTGAGAATCTTGAAGAGAAATGGGAAAAACTGCTCTCTTTTTTAAATGTCGTTTTCTTTTCTTTTCCTACAAGTCTAACTGGATTAATAACAAAAAATAAAAAATAAAAACGAGATTTACATCATTTATCAAAATCAACTCAAATTTAAAGAATTGTAAAAAAATGTACACATATGTAAATGGACAAAAAGAACGTATCAACAAGAAAACATAAAGAGGGGGGGAAGACTTTTCCTTTTTCTTTTCTTTGTGTTTTATTTTGTCCCCAATGTGTCTGATGACTCAGATTATGAGATACTTCTAAACTGCTTTTTCAGTATGGCACGTGCATAACGCAGGCTTGGCCAAATATGTGGGATTGCTATCCCCAGCCATTATGACAACAATCTTAGGCTCTGAATCAACCTCCATTTCCATTGTCTTGGTTGGTTTCACTTCATTATTACGAGCTGAGGTAGATGTTGAATTTTTACGATAAGAGCAAGCTAGGATAATTAATGCCACTGCTATGAGTGCAAGCATGAAAGCTAGTCCACCAAAGAGGTAAGGAACTGGAGAGGTAACGTATCTAAAACCAGCACCTGATGCTACACCCATGGTGGAGTTTCTTGCACTTGCATGCCCCATTTGCACAAAACAATGCCTCTATTAATTTCTACCTTGTTTTTGAATATGGGTTTGTTACACAGGGTCTTGGGGATGGTAGAAGGAGATGGAATTGAATTTATAGTAACCAAGGTAAAGTACCCTCCCCCTTATATGAAGTTACTCATGAATGGCCCACTTGAAGAAATGTGAATGAAATTTCTGTTTATTCTTTTCTTGAAAAATTTGCTAAAGATGAAACTGTTAAATAATTCTTGATTCTTTCGTGTGTTTTCAAGCAACATATCTGTGAATTGTTTTTTTGTGGAAGTTTTTATGACCCTTGGGGTATCTTAGTTCTTTCATGACAAAAATTAAAGGTGGGCCCAGGTGTTGGTCTCATAGAATTATGTACACTTTTTTTTTTTGTTTAATATTTCATTTTATATAGAGTTGTTTCAGAAAATATAATTTGGATTTAGTAAATTAAAAATGTTAATTTGCACATCATTTTTATTATATTATTTTTACGCCACTTTCTATTTAGATAACAAAAAGGAAACGCGTATTTATTATATTCTTTCTCCATCTTTTTTTATATATAAGGTGTGAGAACTTATGTGGAGTAAAGAAAATGCTGCGGAGAAAAACTTTTCTTAATACATACCGTGCGATTCTTTTTTATTTTTCAAATTGAGACCACAAAATTGTGAGTAACTTTTTTCATACAGGCCTAAACTCTTCACATTAGTTTGCTTATCAGTTTAGACACTCATGGTATATTATTAGAAAAAAGATTCCCAATTTAGTCTCTGAATAATTTATCTTTTTTCAAAATGTTATTCTTATCTAATTAAAAAAATTTACAAAGAAACAAAATTATAAATATTATACGGAAAGAATTATATTTACAAACTAAATTGTTTACAAACTCTTATAATCAAATCTTAACTATTGATTTTCGTCAATCTAACGATTATTATTTATTATGAAATAATAATTAATTAATTAATAAATGTGACCTAATAAATTATAATTATTATATTGATTAACGATTAAGATTTGGTGATATGAGTTTGTAAACAATTTAGTTTGTACTATGTAATATATATATCTTACCGTCGCGCAACTGGTTTCTAACACTAATAACTGCTTCTCACTCTATCTTTACTTCTTTTCTTTTTGGTAAAATTTTAAAGGTACAATGAGTTTCTCATTATTTCTTATATTCAAAAAAATGTAAATATTAACAAAAAAAATGGATTGAAAGAAAATTAAGCACGTATTGATCAATATGTTAATTTTCTATGTGCGCTTATATATTATAGATTTCTTGTAGGCAACAAAATATGGCTTTTGCAATAGTGAGCATTTGGAGAGAATCTTATCTCTTTTCAAAATCTTATCCCAAATACTCTCATGAAACTTGAATAAGTTGAATTGGCATCTCTAAAACTATGTACATAATCAATGGTGATGTAAACCTTTAGAATCAACAGTATCTAACTATAATAGATATATATGTTGTTTCTTATAACTTGTTTAACTAGCCATAGTAGTTGATAGAAGGGGATGAAGATGCTCCATGGGATTTTATCCACAAAAAATTATGCTTCGCTATTTGGTATGCAGGTTGTTTTATTTTGCTGATTTGCTATCGTTATGGATATGAATATTATATCTCAACTACCTACTAGAATATCTGGTGAGATATGGAATCAGCAACATCTCGACAACTCCAAACAGCCAAAGGGCATAAGATAAGGATCACATCCCAACAGAAGGAGGTTAAATCTTACTACAATTGGAGAATCTCAAAAGGCCCAAGCCTAGGAAGGTAATCCTATAAATAAGAGCCTAATGACCCCAAGTAAACACTCAGAACTCATTTACTACTTTCGCCCCCGCTGTGCACACACCCACACCTTGGCTATAAGCCTATTGCTTGTGCGCAGTGATTGGGACCTCGGCTATAAGCCTAGTATACAGTTGATATACATTATCTCTGAGCGCATACCCTACGGTATAGCAATACGATCTATCCAGAACCTAACATTGGTGCTGTCTGTGGGAAACGATAAATTTCGACTCCCATTCCACGATGACGAACATACGTTCGACGTCTAGTACCTCCCAAATACCGCCGCGTCAATCTCAGCCTCAGCCTTATGGCATGCCTCAACATCAATCTGCACCAGAACAGCCCCAATTGGAAGCAAACCCGATGCTGGTTGAGGTACAGGTCAGCGAGGTCGGAACACAATGACCGACTCCCAGACCCCAGCCGAATGCAGCGATGCTGCAGTTCGTCCACCTCCACACAATGAGCCACCAGACGTGACAAGCATGGCCATGGGAGCAATCCTTCAAAGGTTGCAAGAGATGGAAAACAGATTCCTGACCTAGCAGCGTATGGATGCCCAAAGGATGGCGACATTGGAGGCCGAGCTGAGGACCTTGAACGCGGAAGGCCGGACTAGGGAAGTCGGGCATGTCGTAAACGGCCGACCTCAGCATCAACATGCCGAAGGCGTACAACATCATAACGTTGAAGGCATACAACATCAGAACGCCGAAGGCGTCCAGCATCAGAATGCTGAAGATCTCCAACATCAAAACGTTGAAGATCGACCTAGAAGGCGCGGTCATGCTGGTGATGGAGGACCGCGGCAGCAGAACGCGGCTAAAGTTGAAGGAAACGCGCAGAATGTGCAGAACCTTAACCTCGGCAACAAGCGGAATGGTGGTGGTCCGAACGACAACCAGGATGAAAATTATCTGGAGGATGAAGAGGCTAATGACAGCCCATTCACTGAGAGGCTCATGAACTTGGCCATACCGCCGAGATTCAAGAGCATCAGGATACCTCCATACGACGGAAGTCAGGACCCAGAAGCCCACTTAGAAGCTTTCAAAACCGAGATGCTATTCAACGGGATCACTGGACCTATTAAGGCCAGGATCTTTGCGACGACATTGACTGGTCATGCAATGACCTGGATAACCAGGCTCCCTAGGAACTCAATCGACTCGTTTGAGGACCTAGCTCGGACTTTCCGACTTAACTTTGCAACAAGCAAAGTGCATCCGATGCCAGCCTATGCTTTAGGAAGAATCCGGCAGAAGGAGAACGAATCGCTGAGGAAGTACCTCGACCGATTCAAGGATGTCGCCCTCAAGGTACGAGGGTTAACTGAAGCAGTCCACCTCCACTTAATCATTTCAGGATTGGATAGAGACTCCCCATTGGCGAGGTCTATCTACAAGAACCCGGTGAACGATCTGGAGGAGTTCAGGAGAAGGTCGGACAAATACATTGACGTGGAGGACATGCAAAAGGTCTATGTCGAATCACGAGGACGAAGCCCAACACGACGGAGTCCGAGTAAGAAAAACAACAAAGACCGGGACCAGAAGGGATCCAAAAAAGCAAAGGACACTCGTGATAAAAGGTCGGAAGACCAATCACCAAGGAGGAAGTATGACGATTATACGCCTTTGAACGTGTCCAGATCCAAGATATGGAAAGAGGTAGCACAGACCGAGATGCGCAATGTCGAGAGACCTCGACCCCTCAAAGCCAAGTTCGGATTAGATAGAAGTAAATACTGCGCATTCCACGACCAAAACGGTCATTTTACGGATGATTGTTGGGACCTCCGAGATGCAATTGAAAAGCACGTCAGAGAGGAAAAATTAAAGCAGTATATCATCCGAACACAGGGCAAGAAAAATAATAAGCGAAAGCAAATGAGCCGAAGCCGAAGTCGAAGCCCAAAGAGAGAGGATCGAAAGGATCAAAGACAAGACCGACCTGCCAAAGGCAAAGAGGTCGATGAAAAGGACGAGGCTTTTCCTGAAGCCGAATTTGAATGCAACGTGATAAGTGGAGCTCTAGGTGGCGGAGGAGACTCGGCTAACGCCAGAAGAAAGTACCTAAAAGAGGTCATGTCTGTAAGAGACAGGCCGACATTCAAAGAGAATGACAACAAACCCCCCCCCCCCCCGAGACTGTTCTTCACTCAGGAGGAACTAGCAATGGTCGTACCCGGACACACTGACGGATTGGTGATCACCGTAGTGCTAGTCAATTGCCGAGTGAAGAGAATCTTTATTGACAACAGAAGTTCAGCTGACATAATTCTCTGGGATGCTTTCCAGAGGATGAACCTGGATGAGAAGGACTTGAAACCATGTGTCACCGAGCTGGTCAGGTTCAACGGAGCGGCATCCCCTCCAAAGGGCTACATCGACCTAAAGTTGACCTTGGGCACGAAGGACTCGTTCCGAGCTGGAAGGGTTCGTTTCGTTGTGGTAGGCACCTCGTCTTCCTACAACGTGATTATTGGTCGGCCCACAATCCATTAATGGGATATGCTGATCTCCACCAAACATCAAGCATTAAAAATGCCTGGGATGAACAACGAGATCGTCACCATAAGAGGTGATCAAGAAGAATCAAGAAAGTGCTACTATGAGACTCTACGAGTCCATCATCTCCAACTCGGCTTAAAGAAGGAGGAACTAAGGACCAATCACTGAGGGCATGCGGAAGAGAAGTCAACTTGGTTGAACTCGATGTAAGAGAGAAGCTCTTGGCACCTCGTCAAGAACCCCAAGGAGAGTTGGAGGATGCCGATATTGCGGAGAACGGAAAAGGACACACCAAGGTGGGAAAAGACCTAAATACCGACTTCAAAGAAGAGCTGGTTTCTTTTTTAAAAGAAAACCCCGATGTATTTGCTTGGAAAGCTTCAGAAATCCCCGGAATAGACCCAACTTTCTGCTGCCACAAGCTCTCCATGTATCCCGGTTCACGGCTAGTGTCCCAAAAGAAGAGGAAGATAGGGTCCGACCGACGTCATGCTTTGAATGAGCACGTTGACGAGCTGCTAGCAGCCGGATTCATTAGTGAAATACAGTATACCACTTGGCTGTCTAATGTGGTGATGGTAAAAAAACCAAGCGGGAAATGGAGGATATTCGTGGACTACACCGACCTCAATAAGGTCTGCCCAAAGGACTCATACCCCATGCCGAGCATCGATGAGCTAGTTGACAATTCGTCAGGATTTCAGCTACTATCGTTTATGGACGCATACTCTGGGTACAACCAAATTCCACTGCACCCCGATGACCACGAAAAAACCGCCTTCATCACTGAGAAGGGCAATTTTTGTTACAACGTCATGCCTTTTCGCCTCAAAAATGCAGGGGCGACATATCAGCGAATGATGAACCGCGTTTTTCAAGGGCAGATTGGAAGAAACCTAGAGGTATACATCGACGACATGATTGTCAAGTCGTTGCAAATATCAGCACATATAAATGACCTCAGGGAAACTTTTCAGCAGTTGAGAGCTCGCAGGATAAGGCTGAATCCAGCGAAACGCGCTTTTGGGGTACCAGCTGGAAAATTCCTGGGCTTCATGCTTACCAACCGAGGAATAGAGGTGAACCCCGACAAGTGCAGGGCCGTGCTTGAAATGAAGTAGCCCGAAAGCAAGAAAGAAATTCAACAGCTCACAGGACGTCTTGCGGCCCTGACCAGATTCTTGCCTAGATCAGCAGAAAAGGCTTTGCCTTTCTTCAAGCTCCTCAAAAAGGAAGCTGAGCTCGGATGGGGAGAAGAATGCAAAAACGCATTCGAAAATATTAAGAATTGCCTAGCCACTCCTCCTGTACTGTCCAAACCAGAGTCCGAAAAAACGCTGATCTTGTACTTATCAGTTGGGGAAGAGGCCGTCAGTGCCGCCCTGGTACGGGAGACTGACAAATCACAGCAGCCGATCTACTTTGTAGGTCGAACCTTGCAAGGGCCCGAGCTTCGTTATCAGAAACTCGAAAAAGTCGCATTCGCACTACTTACCACGGCAAGGAGGCTCCGACCTTACTTCCAGAGTCACCAAGTTATTGTGCGAACAAATCAGCCCATCAGGCAAGTCCTCCACAAGCCGGACTTGGCTGGAAGAATGATAAATTGGGTAGTCGAGCTCTCTGAGTTCGACATTG